ATATGTTTTGGTAAATACCTGAAAAAACTAAAATTGTGCCTGTGTCCAAATATATATGGACCTAACAATATATTCAGCTCCATTGTCTGTGTTCAATACAAATGGCATTTTGCCAGATTTGTTGCTTACTTTAGCCAAATACTGTTCAAGTTTCTCTGGTACTTCACTTTTGTTGTGTAACAGATAAAGTGTGGTATACCTGGAGTAATCATCTATAAATGTAAGAAAATACCTCTTCTTCTTTCCTGGAGTCAAGTTTTTCTTTGGACCAAAAAGATCTGAATGAATTAAGTAAAGAGGTTTCCTGGTACTGCTGTTGGAAAAGCTTTACTTGTCATTTTTCCTTTTATACAGCTGGTGTATTTCATTGTTTGATCACATGCACTCATTTTTGTTCCACTTGCAAAGTCATTCTCAGTGAATTTCTTTATTACGTCAGGACTTCTGTGCCCACGTTGTCTGTGTCATGTGTGAATGCAGTTTGAATGAATGTTTTAACTGAAGCCTGGATGAAGGGAGAGTTCCTTTGACATGTTGGTTTTCTTTTAGTTCAATACCAATAAATGAATTTGGACTCTTTTGTCTTTTGGTCTGCGTCTCCTTCCATGTATGCATGTGTTCTCTGGTAACCACTGAGGGTAGCCTTGTGTGCTGTAAGCAGCCTAACCTGAGTCACTGGGCTCTTCAAATGTTTTCACCCTCTCACTACTTTGTATAAACTCTCTTGGATGCCTTTTTTAATTGGAGTCTACATATCTCTCTTGTTAGGGCTTTCTACTAACATAGCAGTGGTATCAAACTACATTTTAAGAGGACATCACTGAAGAGTAATTCTGTTTGTTGGGTGTGTGCAGCATGGTGGCAGGCAGGAAACACACAGAGTCCCCATTTGCCAAAGAGGATGTATTGTAAAAGTACAACCAGGCTTGGTGGGGAGGCTTGCCCAACCGGGAACACTCACAACAGTACATAATAGACAGTGGTATGTTGACTCAGTATTGCCAATAGTGTCTGCCATGAGGAGTGGAGTGCAACCTGGCCTGTCCAACCCAAAGGAGAAGCTTTCTGAGACGGTAGACATAGTCCGGGCTCTCCCAACTCCACCAGAAACTTTCCCTATTGCTAGTGCTGTCCCTGACAGATGGGGAACCTGTCCCTACACTAGCCACTCGCATAAAGCATGCCAAAACCTGGGGTCAGAGTGATAAATAGACTCTGCTTGACCCAAGATGTCTGCCAGGGTCACATGAGACCACAGCACCCAACCGGATCACTGTCCCGTGTGACCAAGGAAGTCATAGAGAAACCCAGTTTCCCCGCACTTCCACTCCCCTCTGCATAGCCTCTGCAGTCCAGCGCCACCTGCAGTGGAGAACACAGACGACACCTGTCCATATGCTGGGTTTTCTGATTAGTTTTGGACCACTCTTTTATAGTTCTTCTTACAACTGAATAACATGGAAAACATAGTAGACATGCTTTATTTTAAGTGCATGTAAACTTTAACAATGAACTTCTTTTGTTTGCTCCCTAATGGACTGTTAAAAATACCATTGAACCTATGTGACCCCTATTGATCCATTTGATCTGTGACACAGGGTTCTTTGTCCTAGCTGTTAATTTTTAATTCTATGTAGAATCCAGAAATAAACACTTTTCAGATATATACCATTTAAAGTGTTTTGGTATACCTGTTCAATAAGTGCAAAATAAAAGAGACATACCTGTTAATCCTGCCGTTGTTGAACACGCCTGCACACGCACAATTTTTATAGCCATGAGATGTGGAAGAAGTGTTCTGTAGTCCATACACACTTCCTGTCCTAGGGTGACAACACTGCTTCTCCCAAAATAAATTAAAAATCATAAATATATACCAAGAAATATAAAAAATAAATAAAATAAAAAATACAAAAATTCCCCAAATCCAAAATGTCCAATAATAAATCCAAAGATAAATCCCAAAATAAGTCCAAAAACAATGTCCAAAATTCCAATCTTTTTCCTCCAAATACGAAAGTTGACCTCTATTTCATCCAAAAACGTACCTCAAAAAAAAAAAATATATAAATAATCTAGTACAATTCAATTAATTAAAAGAAATTGAATTGCACTAGATTATTTATATTTATTTTTTGAAGGTACGTTTTTGGATGTAATAGAGGTCAGCTTTCGTATTTGGAGGAAAAAGACTGGAATTTTGGACACTGTTTTTGGACTTATTTTGGGATTTATCTTTGGATTTATTATTGGACATTTTGGATTTGGGGAATTTTTTTATTTTATTTATATTTTATATTTCTTGGTATATATTTATGATTTTTAATTTATTTGGGGAATTTATTATATCACAAAAAGGTTTTATATATATTTTACTACACTTTCTAGGGTGGAAGGTATTAACTTTTTGAGGGTAGAAAAAGGAGGGTACACATTTAATTAACACTGCTTCTCCGTTAATACAGTATGGTGAGAAAAAGCATTGTTACCCTAGAATAGAAAGTGAGCTACTGATAGAATCATCAGGTAAAAAAATATAGGAAAGAAAACAAATGCAGCCAGAACATATAAGTATTGATAAACTGAAAATTCTCACAATTTTGGGGGTTAAGAAATGTTTCTGTTTTGTCTGGTTACAGCGTGATTTATATCCTGTGCTTCCGCTGAGTCTATGTATTAGGATCCTGAGGGATGTTGCTGAAGGTTTGACTTTCTTACACAATCTTCACCCTCCTATAGTGCACCAGCGTCTGAAGCCCTGCAATATACTTTTGGATGCCCAGTACAATGTAAAGGTAAGTCAGTTGGATTAGAAATTTCTGTTAAAAGATTCAAGGACACTAATAAAGATGTTAGGAGGTGTTTTAAAGTCTTTTTCCAGCACATTTATCTCTATTGAAATTGCAAATCAATGTTCTCTAGGTTTATACTAGACCAGTGATGGCGAACCTTTTTGAGCCCGAGTGCCCAAACTGCAACCCAAAACCAACTTATTTCTTTCAAAGTGCCAACACTGCAATGAAACCTGAATATCGAGCTTTTGGTTTAGAAAAAACAACTCGTACAGTAGTGCAAACTAATTAACAGTACAGGGATGACCAGAGACTGCGGACACAGTACAGGGATGACCAGAGACTGCGGACAGTACAGGGATGACCAGAGACTGCGGACACAGTACAGGGATGCCCAGAGACTGCGGACACAGTACAGGGATGACCAGAGACTGCGGACACAGTACAGGAGATGACCAGAGACTGCGGACAGTACAGGGATGACCAGAGACTGCGGACAGTACAGGGATGACCAGAGACTGCGGACACAGTACAGGGATGACCAGAGACTGCAGACACAGTACAGGGATGACCAGAGACTGCGGACAGTACAGGGATGACCAGAGACTGCGGACACAGTACAGGGATGACCAGAGACTGCGGACACAGTACAGGAGATGACCAGAGACTGCGGACACAGTACAGGAGATGACCAGAGACTGCGGACACAGTACAGGAGATGACCAGAGACTGCGGACACAGTACAGGAGATGACCAGAGACTGCGGACACAGTACAGGAGATGACCAGAGACTGCGAACAGTACAGGAGATGACCAGAGACTGCGGACAGTACAGGGATGACCAGAGACTGCGGACAGTACAGGGATGACCAGAGACTGCGGACACAGTACAGGCGGACACAGTATGACCAGAGACTGCAGACACAGTACAGGGATGACCAGAGACTGCAGACACAGTACAGGGATGACCAGAGACTGCAGACACAGTACAGGGATGACCAGAGACTGCAGACACAGTACAGGGATGACCAGAGACTGCGGACAGTACAGGGATGACCAGAGACTGCGGACACAGTACAGGGATGACCAGAGACTGCGGACACAGTACAGGAGATGACCAGAGACTGCGGACAGTACAGGGATGACCAGAGACTGCGGACACAGTACAGGAGATGACCAGAGACTGCGAACAGTACAGGAGATGACCAGAGACTGCGACAGTACAGGGATGACCAGAGACTGCGGACAGTACAGGGATGACCAGAGACTGCGGACACAGTACAGGAGAGACTGACCAGAGACTGCGGACACAGTACAGGAGATGACCAGAGACTGCGGACACAGTACAGGAGATGACCAGAGGACTGCGGACACAGTACAGGGATGACCAGAGACTGCGGACACAGTACAGTACAGGAGATGACCAGAGACTGCGGACACAGTACAGGGATGACCAGAGACTGCGGACACAGTACAGGGATGACCAGAGACTGCGGACACAGGAGTACCAGGAGCGGACAGTGACCAGAGACTGCGGACACAGTACAGGAGATGACCAGAGACTGCGGACACAGTACAGGAGATGACCAGAGACTGCGACAGTACAGAAGATGACCAGGACTGCGGACAGTACAGGAGATGACACCAGAGACTGCGGACACAGTACAGGGATGACCAGAGACTGCGGACACAGTACAGGGATGACCAGAGACTGCGGACAGTACAGGGATGACCAGAGACTGCGGACACAGTACAGGAGATGACCAGAGACTGCGGACAGTACAGGAGATGACCAGAGACTGCGGACAGTACAGGAGATGACCAGAGACTGCGGACACAGTACAGGAGATGACCAGAGACTGCGGGACACAGTACAGGAGATGACCAGAGACTGCGAACAGTACAGAAGATGACCAGAGACTGCGGACAGTACAGGAGATGACCAGAGACTGCGGACAGTACAGGGATGACCAGAGACTGCGGACACAGTACAGGGATGACCAGACCTGCGACTGCGGACAGTACAGGGATGACCAGAGACTGCGGACACAGTACAGGAGATGACCAGAGACTGCGGACAGTACAGGAGATGACCAGAGACTGCGGACAGTACAGGAGATGACCAGAGACTGCGGACACAGTACAGGAGATGACCAGAGACTGCGGACACAGTACAGGAGATGACCAGAGACTGCGAACAGTACAGAAGATGACCAGAGACTGCGGACAGTACAGGAGATGACCAGAGACTGCGGACAGTACAGGGATGACCAGAGACTGCGGACACAGTACAGGGATGACCAGAGACTGCGGACACAGTACAGGGATGACCAGAGACTGCGGACACAGTACAGGAGATGACCAGACTGGACTGCGGACACAGTACAGGGATGACCAGAGACTGCGGACAGTACAGGGATGACCAGAGACTGCGGAAAGTACAGGAGATGACCAGAGACTGCGGACACAGTACAGGGATGACCAGAGACTGCGGACATAGTACAGGGATGACCAGAGACTGCGGACACAGTACAGGGATGACCAGAGACTGCGGACAGTACAGGGATGACCAGAGACTGCGGACACAGTACAGGGATGACCAGAGACTGCGGACACAGTACAGTACAGGGATGACCAGAGACTGCGGACACAGTACAGGAGATGACCAGAGACTGCGGACACAGTACAGGGATGACCAGAGACTGCGGACACAGTACAGGAGATGACCAGAGACTGCGGACAGCACAGGGATGACCAGAGACTGCGGACACAGTACAGGGATGACTGCTGACCTTTGGGGAGGTGGGGAGCGGGTACCTGAATTTGACAGGTACCCGCTCTTACTTCCGCAGAGTTTTTTTTTTTTATCTTACCTGTTCCTTTATCCAGCCGCGCGTTGTCTTCCCGGCTTCTGTAGTCTTCCCGGCTTCTGTAGTGTGGGCGCTCGTCGGACAGCCGGATGCCCAGTGCGCATGCGCGAGAAGCGCTGCGCTTTGTGATTGGTCCGGCGGCTTCTGGGATCTGTCATGTGTCCCAGGTACCGCCTTACCATTCACAAAGAGCACTGCTTCTTGTGCATGCGCACTTGGGACCCGGCTGTCACGCACACTACAGCCGGGAAGACAGCGCGCCGCTGGATTCTCCTGGCGTGCCCACAGATAAGGCTCGGCGTGCCGGCTGTGGCACGCGTGCCACGGTTTCGCCATCACTGTACTAGACATATGCAACATACTGGGTATAGTAATAGTATTAGAATGGTAAAAAAGCTTGAGATTGGTTGTCCTGTTTCTCATACCCTATGTTTTTGCTAAAACAGCACTGAAGTTGGTACATCTCAGTACTAACAAGCATTCATTGAAGGTTAGCCTAAAAACTGTCCATACAGAGGTGGACTGGGCAGCCTAAGATTTCCACTTCTTAACCAGGCAATCTGATATGATTTGGTGATCCACAGTGATCTCCACATCTGGACACCAATGGAAAATGTTAAGAAAGCCAAATACACCCTTTTATGTAACCCTAAGACCTCGTTCATAGCATACGTGCATAAAAACTTATGGGGAAAACGCGCAGATTTCACTTGCAGAGACACGACATCAGTTTTCATGCATCCCCTCATCACAGTCAGCCATTCTGCCCCCTCCTCATCACAGTCTGCCATTCTCTCCCCTCAACACAGTCAGCTATTCTGCCCTTCCTCATACAGTCTGCCATTCTGTCCCCCTCATCACAGTCTGCCATTCTCTGCCCCTCATCACAGTCTGCCATTCTGCCCCTCCTCATACAGTCTGCCATTCTGTCCCCCTCATACAGTACGCCATTCTGTCCCCCTCATCACAGTCAGCCATTCTGTCCCCCTCATACAGTCCGTCATTCTGTTCCCCTCATACAGTCTGCCATTCTGTCCCCCTTATCACAATCCGTCATTCTGTCCCCCTTCATACAGTCCACCATTCTGTCCCCTTCATACAGTCCACATTCTGTCCCCCTCATCACAATCCGCCACTCTTTCCCCCTCATCACAATCCGTCATTCTGTCCCCTTCATACAGTCCACCATTCTGTCCCCTCATACAGTCCACCATTCTGTCCCCTCATACAGTCCGCCACTCTGTCCCCCTCATCACAGTCTGCCATTCTGTCCCCCTCATCACAATCCGTCATTCTGTCCCCCTCATACAGTCCACCATTCTGTCCCCCTCATACAGTCTGCCACTCTGTCCCCCTCATCACAGTCTGCCACTGTCCCCCCTCATCACAGTCTGCCATTCTGTCCCCCTCATCACAATCCGCCATTCTGTCCCCCTCATCACAGTCCACCATTCTGTCCCCCTTATCACAGCCTGCCATTCTGTCCACCACATACAGTCTGCCATTCTGTCCACCACATACAGTCTGCCATTCTGTCCCCCTCATCACAATCCGCCTTTCTGTCCCCCTCATCACAATCTGCCACTTCTGTCCCCCTCATCACAATCCGCCATTCTGTCCCCCTCATACAGTCCGCCATTCTGTCCCCCTTATCACAATCCGCCTTTCTGTCCCCCTCATCACAATCTGCCATTCTGTCCCCCTCATCACAATCCGCCGTTCTGTCCCCCTCATACAGTTCGTCCACTCTGTCCCTCATTATAAGTCTGCGCCATTCTGTCCCCCTCTCATCACAGCTCCACAATCCGCCATTCTGTCCCCCTCATCACAATCTGCCATTCTGTCCTCCTCATCACAGTCCACCATTCTTCCCCCCTGATATCATCCACCATGCTCTCCCCCCCCTTATATAGTCCACCGCACTCTGTCCCCCTCATCACAATCCGCCACTCTGTCCCCCTCATCACAATCCGCCATTCTGCCCCCTCTCACAATCCGCCATTCTGCCCCCTCATCACAATCTGCCTTTCTGTCCCCCTCATCTCAATCCGCCATTCTGTCCCCCTCATCACAATCCGCCATTCTTGTCCCCCTCATCACAATCCGCCATTCTGTCCCCTCATCACAATCCACCATTCTTCCCCCTGATATCATCCACCATGCTGCCCCCCTTATATAGTCCACCACTGCTGTCCCCCCTCATCACAATCCACCACTCTGTCCCCCTCATCACAATCCGCCATTCTGTCCCCCATCACAAATCCACCATTCTGCCCCCTCATCACAATCTGCCTTTCTGTCCCCCTCATCTCAATCCGCCATTCTGTCCCCCCCTTATCACAATCCGCCATTTTGTCCCCCTAATCACAATTCGCCATTCTGTCCTCCTCATCACAATCCACTATTCTGCCCCCTGATATCATCCACCATGCTGCCCCCCCCTTATACAGTCCACCACTCTGTCCCTCTCATCACAATCCACCATTCTGCCCCCTTCATCACAATCCACCATTCTGCCCCCTCATCACAATCCGCCATTCTGCCCCCTCATCACAATCCTCCATTCTGCCCCCTTCATCACAATCCACCATTCTGCCCCCTCATCACAATCTCTCATTCTGTCTCCCTCATCACATTCTGCCCTTCTGTCTCTCTCATTACAGTTCACCATTCAGTTCCCCACATCTCTGCCCACCACCTGTCTCCCCCGTCATTCAGTTCCCCGCCATCAGTGCCTATTCCAGCATCACAAACCTACCACAGCAGCAGCGTAATCTAGTCATCATCCAATCATGTGCAATTAAAAATGCATTTTTTTTTTTTTTCCTTGCACCTGATTGCGTATTCTTTACAAACTGAAGCTTCAATACATTCATTAAGCTCTGGGAAAAATGCGTGCAACTGCACATGCAAAGTACACAGTCTATGGCCTGGTTCTTAAAGGCTTCATCTTAAATAGGAGCAGCAAGATTTGACAAAGCATTTGCAGAGCTTTCGGCAAGCTTTGCTGAAGCTTTTAACCGCTTGCCTACAGGGCACTTATACCCCCTTCCTGCCCAGGCCAATTTCCAGCTCTCAGTGCTGTCACACTTTGAATAACAATTGTGCGGTCATGCAACACTGTACCCATATGAAATTTTTAGCATTTTTTTGTGACAGATAGAGCTTTCTTTTGGTGGCATTTAATCACCTCTAGGTTTTTTATTTTTTCTTAAACAAACCAAAAACTGCTGAAATTGTTTTTTTAAAAAAACGTTTTTTCTTAGTTTTTGTTATAAAATTTTGTAAATGATTTTTCTCCTTCACTGATGTGCGCTAATGAGGCTGCGCTGATGGGCACTGATTGGCTGCACTGATGGACACTGATAGGTGGCACTGATGGGCACTGATGAGGAGGCACTGGTAGGTGGCACTGATGGGCATTGACAGGCATCACTGTGGGCACTGAAAAGCAGCACTGATATATGGCACTGATAGGTGGCACTGATAGGCGGCACTGACTGGCAATGTTAGGTGGCACTGACTGGCACTGTTAGGCGGCACTGACTGGCACTGATAGGCGACATTGACGGGCACTCATAGGCGGCACTGATGCACATTGATAGGCAGCACTAACTGGCACTGATAGGCGGCACTGACTAGCACTGATAGGTGGCACTGACTGGCATTGATAGGTGGCACTGACTGGCACTGATGGGTAACAATGAAAGGCAGCTCAGATAGGCACTGATATGTGGCATTGATGTGCACTGGTAGGCACTGATATGTGGCCTTGATGTGGCACTGATGGGTACTGGCATGTGGCACTGTTCAGCACTGACAGCTGGCACTGATGGACACTGACAGGTGGCACTTCTGGGGCCACACTGATCATCAGGGCACACTGATCATCAGTGCCCAGATGATCATTGTACATGTCCCCTCCGCGGAATGCTGATTACCGGCTCTCCTCTGTCAGCGTGACAGCTCATGAGGAGAGAAAATGCCGATAACCGGCATTTCCGTGTTTACATGTGATCAGCTGTGATTGGACACAGCTGATCACATGACCAAGCCGACATCTTCGTCTCTTTCTGTAGATCGGTGATCCACTGTGTCAGAGGGACACAGCGCACCGCAGATCACCAAGCTGCACGCTCCCTGAGCCACGCATGCACGGTGAGAATGGGAGGACATCATATGACGTCCTCCCAGAACAAGAGAACCACCTTGCGCCCGTCATTGGACTATATGGCGGGCGGGAGGTGTTTAAAAGTACCATTCAACTGCAGTTTATACTGTAAATATTGAATATTGGGATTTTTTTTTAGAAAAGACATGTCACAGAATACATTTTAGCCTAAACTTATGACAAAATTTTTTAAACATTTTTTACTGGATATGTTTAATAGCAAAAAGTCAAAAATATATATATTTTTTTCAAAATTGTCGGTCTTTTTTTGTTTATAGCGCAAAAAAATAAAGACCGCACAGGTAATCAAATACCTCCAAAAGAAAGCTCTATTTGTGAGAAAAAAGGATATAAATTTAATTAGGGTGCAGCGTTGCATGAACGTGCAATTGTCAGCTAAAATAATGCAGCACCATATTGCAAAAACTGGCCTGGTCAGGAAGGGGGGTAAATCCTCTGGAGGGCAAGTGCTTAACAAAAGACTGAAAGCAGGCAGGCTATTAATGCAGTAGAGATATGCAATGTTGCTTTTATAATAAAATAAACCTACCAGGAGTTACGTCATCCATTTTCACCCATGGAGAAAATGCCATCAAAGGACCTGGACGGTTAGAGAGGTGATAAGTTTAGTGCCTTTAGTTCCCCTTTTTTTTTTTTTTTTTAAAGAAAGTTTATTTGCCTTATACATCACAATGACAATAAGTACGACAGTTGCATAATGACATTCCATTAATTACATCATGCATAGATCATAAGACAAGGTCAGGTATCTAGAACCATATATCACATGTATGATGTCATATAGGATACTGTGTTCAGAATCAGAAGAAGTTTATGCTGGTAGGTTAATTGGCTCCTGTCTAAATTGTCCCTAGTATGTGTATGAATGAATGTATGTTAGGAATCTTAGATTGTACGCCCCTTGAGGGTTAGGCTCGCCATACATGGGTCGAAATGCGACCGATTTTTCATCCGAAAATGGGACTTAAGAATAATCGGACAATTTTCGCTGTTAGTGGGTCAATGGCACCGGCTGATTTTCGTGGTTCCTCCCCTTTTCGGTGATTGGAAAATTCATGAAAAACGACAAATTTTCGGCTCATTGATGGCCAAATCGTACAATCATTTTTCCGAAAAGAATATGCGCAGGAGCCGTGACTTGGAAGGAACAGAAGTTTTGCCTGTTATATGGAGTGAACTTTATGACTTGGTTGGCCGATTTTCAAAATCATTGATGGCACCATCAAATTACTGAGCGAACAACGTTTTCGATGTTCGGACGAAAAATTGTTTGTAATTCAAACCATGTATGGCCTGCATAAAAGACTGATGTGAATGTACAATATATATGTAAAGTGCTGCATACATTGACGGCACTATACAAGTACCTGTAATAAATAAAATAAGTTTATGAGCTAATACCTTTACTTCCACTTTAATCAACTGCTTCAACAGTATCTGAGTAGAAAACTACAGAGCAGTAGAAAAATAGGTAGAATCTAATACTTATATTAGTAATCATTAGGAAAGTGTCAATTTTAAGTCTAAGCAGTGTGTAGTGCAACCAGGGGCAGACTGACCATTCGCACCCCATAAGATGCCCCTGGTACCTTTCATAGGCTTTTTTGGGTGTGGTTTGAGTATGGGCAAGGGCACAGGGACCCCATGAGTTGTCAGTCTGCCCCTGATTGCAACCTTAAAGGCTTAGTCCACCTTCATAAAAAAAAAAAAATACCCTATGCAGTCCATAAACATCATTCCATAATGATAAACTAATCCGATATAAGAAACTATGCATTTATGCTCCTTATCTGTAGGCCAATTGTGCAAAGAGTAAGGCCTGCCCCAAACACTTCTGACAGTTTCCAAATCCCCATCCTGTCTTCTTTCTAGTATGCGGCACCCCCTAGCAATACAGGAGTGAGTTCTGTTCATCTCTCGAGCCCTGCACATAAGCAGTGCACTCGCTCTCCTGCCACAGACCCTGAACTTATCTGTGGCAACAGGAGTAAGTAAGGAGCATCCTGAAAACTTACCCTGAAAATGTAATGTTAATACACATAAGTATCACATACAGTTTTATTTAATGGACTGACATATATATCTATATATATATTTTTTTTTTAGTGTTTTTTTTTAATTAATTTATTTATTTTAAGCTTTCAGATGTCCAATTGATGAACTTAACAAAGCTTTCAATTTCGTCGGATGAGGATAATAATACACACAGAGTTTATATGTCACCTCAGAGGCTACAATGTCATGAACCAACAACGGCAGATGATATTTACAGGTCAGCATTTTTTTTATGGAACTTTCTCTTTTATTACCAATGTAAATAGGTTTTTCAGCCAATGTGCCCATACTGTATTTTGTTCTGATTAGATTATACACTAGCAGAGCTGGCCTACTGTTAGGGATTTTGTATATAGCCCTACAGAACAGACAGTGCACAGCCCACATGTGTTTGTCTTCTTCTTCTCTGCAAACAGGAAACAGGAACCTTATTCAGAGAAAAGGGAGAGTATATTATAGATGCAGCTACAACACTGCCATCTACTGGTTGAATAATATATCTCTACTTAACACTGACACTGTTGTAGTTGTACCAAAATGTACATGAACATTGTATTCCAACACCTTCCAACCACCGTGTCTGCCCAATAACTTTAGGCAGGTTTGCTGGTAGAGGTCCTAATTAAAGCTCATAGTTTCAGATGTACAGAGTTTGAGCTAAATGTTTATATTGCAGAACATATTTGAGATTGTTTTAATTCCATGTGTAAGGAGTCTTAACAGTCTAATCTAGCATAACACATTGTGTTCATATATTCACAATTATACCATATAAAGGACCTAATTGATGAATGTGTTTTAGGCTCTGTTTACACTAGTGCGACTTCAGATATGACTTGAGTCGCACAGAATTGCACGACAAATCACATTGGCGAGATTCACTAAAACTGGAGCGGGCAAAATCTGGGGAAGCTTTAACCAGAAACCAATCAGCTTCCAGGTTTTACTGTCAAAGCTTAACTGAACAAGCTAGAAGCTGATTGACTGCCATGCACAGCTGCACCAGATTCTGAGTGCTCCAGTTATGGTAAACATCCCCCATTGGTTTTAATGGTATCCTTTTACATCAATGCAAGAGCGATTTTGGAATAGGGTCCTGTACTACATTGGTGCAATTCCAGCATGATTTTGGCCCCAAACCTTATTCAAGTTGCATCATAGTTGTATTACATAATTGCACTGAAAGTTGGATCAAAATTGGATTGCAGCAGTGTGAACCTAGTCTTAAGGTACCATTAGGCATAAGATGACAGTTGTAGACTGCATACTGATTTTATATATGTAGGACTCTAGAAGAGAAACACAACTTTGGGAAAACCAGGTAAACTCCAGACACGAACTTGAGGAAAACAAGCTGTTTATTACCAGCTGGGACTCAGTCAGACTCATGTCTGCAAAGCTGAGTGCCTTGAAATATCTCTATTTCTTCTTTGTTCTTATTAAGATATGTGCTAAACAGTACAACATATAACATTTAGCATTTGTTTAATTTCACTAACTGCCTATATTTCCACAGGATGTGTATTGGGGGGAGTGAGCTAAAAGTTAGTTCTTTATTTTTTTTGAAATTAGAAATATTAAGACCTAATGGGGAACTGCAATATTTGGGTGCTGCCACACTAAAGCTGTCCATACACGTTTCATTTTCTGGCTGAATGAGGGAAAATAAATCAGTTCCCCCTTCCACACTGTTTAGTGACTAGTTTAATGCAAGAGCCACTACTTGCTTTTCTATTCAGTCAGACGCAGCACCCACGACAGCCTGAATACCTGAATGTAATGGTAACGCATATTGAGCCCTCAAAAGGTTGTGTGGAATGGCAAGGACGCCATGTTGTTCAGATTCAGCCATGACAGTTTGTAGCACAAGTTAGTGAATACCAGCAGTGGTTCTCTTCTCTTCATCCACCCAAGAAACCTCTGGTGCAGTATACAAACTGCTAGCTGATGCCAGAACATTGTTATCCATACATTGATCAGACACACAGACCTCTCCATTACCCAATCCACAATTCCAGTCTGAAAACCCTAATCGAAGTGTCCCCCTCGCAAGCTTGAGCAATCCGGAGACCTAACAGACCTTGGATTGTAAATACCATAGTGGAATACAAATTTCTGATAGACGGCTTTTCAGCCAAGATTCTAAAAGTTCAGAATATTTCATAACTTATGAAATCATTATAGCACAGCCAGAATATAGACATTTTCCCTCCCTTAGTGATTGGGTAGCATTTTTGAACCCAAACACCTCTATGTTAGGAGGGAGCAGAGGGGATTAGGCCTCCATACTCCTCCTATGAGAAACAGATATCCGAGACCTGTCACATCTATATCCATTTTGAAGCTAAATTCATGCTGGACAATAATTTGCATGGTAGCAGACTGTAAATGGTAGCTATTTAGATATATAAATACTTATAGGAAATTGTATTTGGGAGTTGGTCATAAACTTGGTGACCTCCCAGCACCCATCCCTTAAGCCGGATGATTGGTCTGATGAGATGATCTCTGTCAACACCCATTTGATACGACAGAAAAAGGGAATGACAGGACCTGTGGGCAAGTTCTCATTTTACCATCAATGAAGGAACATCTGTCAAGTTATGAGAGCTTAGAACATCTTTCTTATTGATTGAAATCTGCTAAACTGAAGGACTTTGCAAGTATTGTCCATTTGTAAACTCTCCGTTGTTTTATGGTTTCTTTATTTCTTTGTAACATATTCTTCTGTAAATATTTTATTTGTTATTTATTACCTTTTCAGAAAAGTTTTAAAATTGTCTCTAAAGCTTTTAATGCAAACTAAAAGAATTTCTGTCTCTGAAGAGTGCCACTGTATAATAATCCTCTGAATATACCTGTCTGTGGTGACAGTGTATGTTAAAGACATT